TATTTATTTATTTATCATTTAACCACCATACCTCAGAATTATTGAATAAAGATTTTACTACTATTTACTTAAATACTTTAAATACTTTAATAGTTAATAATTATGCATGAGATTTTTAATTTTTAATTATTAATATGATGATAACTGATAAGAAAAAGCGAAAACATCAATATCAGCAAACATTAAACAACTAATAACAATCTATTTTTGTATCGAGGGTTTTCATAACAAAGTCCCCCTTCCCCGTCGCACAGAGTATCTACTATCTTGACAGTCTCAGATAATGYGCTGAATGGTCATTGGCTATGGTTGGTAGGAAAGGTGTGCGGCGGCCCGTTGAAACATGCAATTAACAATAACAATAGTAATAACTCATAAATAATAAATATTAATTATTAATTATTTAATAATAATTTATAATTTTAGCCGTTACTTTATCGACTTTTATTTTTATTTATCTGGTTCGATTATCGAACGGAACTATTAGATATTTGGTTCGGTTCGATTATTTGGAATTTCCAGTTCGGTTCGAAAATCGAACAGTTCGTAACATCTCTAATTTTTACCTTTAAGTTTGATAATAAACCAATTCACTCTAATATTAAAGCTAACATATTATTACATACAAGATAAATTTTACAAAACGAAAATTTTCTAAGATGCATATGGGTAAGAGAGTATACAACAATGTATTTAAGACTACACAACATAAAAATATTAATATTAAAAACCTAAACTAAATTATTAACTAACAAAAAACACCATAAATCAATAAATTAATAACTTTCATAGAAGTTAAAGCKTTCATGAATAAAAATAGTTTTTATAATAATATGTATATTTTTTTTAGTACTAAAACAATATTGAAATTTTATGAAATATTATATATTTAAGATAATGTGATACCCACATCTGTTGTCTCCGTCTTGCAAGCATGTAACATAGCACGATCAGCAGAACACGTGTAGCCCTGTTAATTTAAAATTTAGAGTGAATTGACCTTTAATAAAATTTAGGTAAAATAAAGGTCATTCACTCTAAATTTTAAGCTAACAGGGCTACACGTRTTCTGCTGATCGTGCAATTTGCTATGTTACGCACTTGTAAGACGGAGATAACACATCAGGTATCACATCTTTTTAATAATAATTGAATAAGACTAACATAAACTGGAAAAACATTTAAAAATAATTAATAAACGAGTATGTGAAGTATACCAAAGTTAGGTTAGTTCAATAAAAATTGTTTAAAAATATGTAGGTAAATTAATTATAACTAACCATATCATATGACTTCCAAAAYAATTACTCTCAGCTGTCTGAACACAATCACTGTTTTTATTAACTTTAATACTATTGAAATTTTTTTCTTCGGTCGTTTTCATAAAGTGTTGATCACTTTCATTACAACTAAAAATGAATTAAAATTACAAAATTGTATATGCCTTATATAATTTATATACCAAAAATGTTCAACGTACAAATCAAAGTCAAGAGTGAGCTTACTTTTTACTCCCTAGATATAAATAATCTTACATAATTGCAGATTAGTTATGAACTATAACTAGTTTATAATTTAAACATTATTATGTATTTGGTAATTTTCAATTTTTAAACAGTATGTTTAAGTTGTAAACTTAAAATTAGAGAACAAAACAAAATTAAAAATGAAAAGTAAATGCTTACAGTTTATCGGTTTTTATTTCAACTACTTCTTCTACCTCCATAATAAAATCATTACTTAATTCCGGAAGAACTTTAGCATAATCAACATTATTTTCTTCGTCGGCGATTCCAAAAAGTCCATTTACAATTAATGATCTATAAAATATGTGAAAAAAACTTAGTTAAATTATGTTGAATAAGATCCAAAATTGGATAACATCTGTACAAAAATTGTTAAATATACATAATGATGCCTTGGAGACATAGGCGGCATCTAGGGGGGGCATGAGGGTGCAGTTGCACCCTCGACAATTTTTCTGAGGGGGCAAAAGTATCATTTTGCACCTACACATAGACAATCACAACAGTAAAAAATATTTTAATTATTTTATTGTTAACAATTTTATTATACTGATATAATGTAATTTTG